AGACAACATTGAAAAGAGATGGATTTGGTACAGAATTACGGGGTGGATTTTAAACGGTCCATCAGTATTACTGGAGTTACTAGTTTCGATTCTGATGCTGATATTATTGCTTCCTTAGAGAAGTATGGGGTGGTAACAAGGATTCTGAGGGTCCCAAATGCACAACCAGATTGTGGGGAAACTGTTATTGCTGAGTTTGAGTCAGAGATTACAATGGGGGATAATGAGTCAGATTTTCCCCTTGAGATTGAAAATGTGACCAACAAGAATGTAAAATGGAAGGCTAGTCGCATTGAAATGCCAGCACTCCATCAAACTCCAGACCCTGTTTTGGCTGACTCAAGTGATGAAAGTGTTGACAGTTATTCTGACCACAGTACTACACCCTTGATAAAGACAGCAAAGTTAAAGTACAACCACAGACGGCCCCTTACATCCCAGCCAGTCACCCATTCAACTAAATCTCAGACTTGTAGAGTTGTTAAACCAAAGACTACTCCAACCAGACTTCCAGTGGTGACAGATGAAGTAACAAACCCACCAGAGATACAGCGTATAGTAGTGGAACATGTAATCAGAAATGACTCTGTCGCTACACATGGCCAATCCAAATGGTTACGCTCATTCTCAGGCCGTGTGCCAAAACCCCCCGGAGAAGTGGATTTTGAAACGTGGTGTTTACATGTTGAACTAATGTTCAATGATGGCACTCCAGTTGACATTCAGCGGAGGAAAATACTAGAGAGTCTTCTTCCCCCAGCATCAGATGTTGTGAAGCAACTTGGTTATTCAGCACATCCACGAGAATATGTCAGGCTGTTAGATTCTGCATATGGTCTTGTGGAGGATGGTGAGGAGATATTTGCAAGGTTCCTGAACACAAATCAAAATCCAGGTGAGAAAGCTTCTGATTACCTACAGAGGCTGCAAGCTCTCCTTAACACTGCTGTAAGCAGGAATGGTGTGATTCCAGCAGATGCAAGTCGACATTTGCTAAAGCAGTTCAAACGGGGTTGCTGGGACCATAACTTGGTCCTGCAACTGGAACTAAAGAAAGAGACCACGCCTGAGTTTGCAGAGCTTCTGCTAGAGCTGAGGACTGAAGAGGACAGAAGGGCTTCTAAGCTGGACCGGATGCAACGTCATTTTGGGCCTACCAAGATAAAACCAATTGCACACATGCATTCTGTCCCTGACTTCCCACATCACACTGACCCAAGTGCAAGTGTATTGCAGGCCTATATCTCTGAAACTGAGAGTCTAAAGAAGCAGGTTGCAGAACTGCAATTGCAACTGATGACAAAACCATCTAAAAAGCAAAGAAAGCGACAAGTTAAAGCAATGGAAACAACACAAGAGCCACCCGTACCTGTAATTGAAACTCTGGTACACCAAATTCCACCACGAACCCAAGTGAGAGCTGAGCCCAAGGCTTGGTTCTGTTTTAGGTGCGGTGAAGACGGCCACATAGCCAGGAACTGTGAAAATGCTATAAACAAGGCTGTGGTTGATCAAAAGTACAAAGAACTAAAAGCCAGACAGGAAGAATGGAAAGCCCAGCAGCAGGGTCAAGCTTTAAACTGGAGCAGGTTCCGGTAAGGGGACATACGGGAACCAAGAACATTCACAATAGTCCCAAGTCAGAACAGAGATGTCAAAGTAAACAACAACATGCTGAATCCATTCCGAATCACCTTCCAAATAGATTAGTTGGATCAAGATCTCTTGCAGAGGTTAAGATTGGGGAACTATCACATGGTTGCCTCATTGATTCAGGGTCTCAGGTTACCACAATTTCAAAATCATTTCAGTTGACCCACTTACCTTCTCATCCTCTTTTGCCATTAAATGATCTGTTAGAGGTTGAAGGTGCTGCAGGCCAAATTGTCCCTTATCTTGGGTACATTGAAGTTGACATCACTTTCCCACAGAGTTTCACGGGGAAGGACAAAGTTGTAACTATTCTAGCTTTAATTGTCCCAGATCACAGAGCAAATTCGGAAATTCCAGTCCTCATTGGTACAAATGCCCTTGACGTCTTGTATGAGGACTTCAATGAGCAAATGACCATTCCTGAGCATTGTGCTTACGCCCCTCTCATTAGACATTTGCATGCTATCTACAGAAGTAAAACAAAAACTGATAGTTTTGTGGGGACAGTCAAGTCACAATGTAAAACCAACTTAGTAATTCCAGCTGGTCAGAAATAGCCTTAAATGGTCGTGTCAGAAATGTCTGTGCAGGCCCTGGATCCACTCTTCTAGTCGAACCCCACAGCCAGTCCAGCCTACCAGGTGGCTTGATATTTTCCAGCTATGTAATGTCAAAGCCACGACAGACATCCTTCAAAGTTCCCATTCTCCTAAAAAATGAGACAACGCATGATATCATTCTGCCAGCTCACCGTCCTTTGGCAGCGATATCTGTCCCACTTTCAGTTTCTCCTGCGAGGTCTGAATGTATGAATCGAACTGGAAGTTCAGAGCAGAAACATGCTCAGTGTTACACCACCCACGAAGTACAACCAAGTGACAAAATCCAGTTCGATTTTGGTGACTCACCCCTGTCAAACGAGTGGAAAGACAGGATCGCCGAGAAGCTGAATTCCGTGTCTGATGTTTTTGCTAGGGGTGAACTTGATTATGGTCACACCACAGTGGTGAGACATAAGATTTGGCTCTCTGATCCAACGCCTTTTAAACAAAGGCCAAGGCCCATTCATCCCTCTGATTATGAAGCTGTCCGCCTTCATTTGGAGCAGCTGTGCAACAGCAACATTATTAGAGAGTCCGAGAGTCCATTTGCTTCACCAATTGTAGTTGTGAAAAAGAAAAATGGGCAGATCCGCCTTTGTGTGGATTACAGAAAGTTGAACAACCAGACGATCAAAGACGCTTATGCCTTGCCCAATATAGAAGAGGCATTTACAGCTCTGTCAGGATCCAAATGGTTTTCTGTTATGGATTTAAAGTCTGGATATTACCAGGTAGAGGTGGAAGAAGAGGATAAACACAAGACGGCTTTTGTCACACCCATGGGGTTTTGGGAATTCAACAGGATGCCCCAAGGAGTCACTAATGCTCCAAGCACTTTTCAAAGAGTTATGGAGAAATGCATGGGCTCCATGAACCTCAAGGAAGTACTGGTCTTTCTTGATGATCTTATAGTGTTCTCCAATACTTTGGAGGAACATGAAGAAAGGCTCCTGCGAGTTCTGAACAGACTAAAAGAATTTGGTCTCAAACTTTCACCTGAGAAATGTCACTTTTTCCAAAAGTCAGTGAGGTATTTAGGACACATTGTCTCAGAACAGGGAGTGAAGACTGATCCTGATAAAATATCTGCCCTCACCACATGGCCCAGACCCACAAACCTGTCAGAACTGAAGTCATTTTTAGCCTTCACTGGCTATTATCGCAGGTTTGTCAAAGACTATTCTAAAATTGCTAGGCCATTGAATGATTTGACAGCTGGTTATGTCCCTGCCAGGAAGCTGAAACACCACAAATCACCGTCAAACGGCGACTTGAACAGTCCTTTTAATGAGAAATGGACTCCCTCATGTGAGGAAGCTTTCACGACCCTCATTGAGAAGTTGACATCTGCACCAGTGCTTGGGTTTGCTGACCCCAGAAAAGCCTATGTTTTACACACCGATGCCAGTTCACATGGACTTGGTGCAGCCCTATACCAGGAAGAAGATGGTCGGTTAAGAGTCATTGCCTATGCTAGCAGAGGGCTGTCTAACTGTGAAAGAAGGTACCCCACTCACAAACTTGAATTTCTTGCGTCGAAGTGGGCAGTTACTGACAAGTTTGCTGATTATTTGTATGGAGCTGACTTCACTGTCATGACTGACAATAACCCACTGACCTACGTGTTAACATCTGCTAAACTTGATGCAACTGGACATCGATGGCTTGCTGCTTTGTCGAATTTCAATTTCAACATACAGTACAGAGCCGGAAAAGAAATCAGGATGCGGATGGATTATCGAGACGGCCGCATGTTTCTGTTGAAACTGATGACAGTACAACTGCTGAGGATGAGAGAGTAAAGCAATTCATTGCAAAGTTTACGGAAGAGGAAATAGTGCAACATTTCCAAAGGATGCTCTAAAAGCTGTATGCGAGAAGCACCAAGTACACATATCTCCTGACACTACTTACCACTACTGCCACTACTTACCTGCTGCAGTGGAGTGTTTGGCAGTGGATGCAAGTGCGATACCTGACGAGTTTGTTCAAGCCGACATTCTGACTGGTACTAGCACTCTTCCTCAACTCTCCCAACAAGATTGGGCTGCAGAACAAAGGCGTGACCCTATAATAAGCAGAGTCATAGACCTTGTCCATACAGGAAAACGCCTTTCCTATCGTCTTAGGCAAAAGGAGGAAAGGGAAGTCCAACTCATGTTAAGAGTACAGGATCAGTTGTCCCTAATAGATAATGTCTTGTACCGGAAACGAGTGAGCCAGGGCCAGACTCTTTTTCAACTAGTGCTTCCGAAGGAGTACAGGGAAGTAGCTCTTGAAAGTCTTCATGATGCAGTAGGTCACATGGGATTGGAAAGAACTGTTGACCTTGTGAGAACACGTTTCTTTTGGCCCCGAATGTTCCTAGATGTTGAAATGAAAATCAGAACATGTGAAAGGTGCATCCGCCGCAAGGCTAGAGCTGAGAAATCTGCCCCACTGGTAAATATTAAAACCAGTCGACCACTTGAGTTGGTGTGCATGGACTATTTGTCTCTAGAACCTGATAGCCGAGGAACAAAGAATATTCTGGTGATAACGGATCACTTTACGAAGTTTGCTGTTGCAGTGCCAACTCCAGACCAGAAGGAAAAGACCGTTGCCAAGGCCCTGTGGGACAAATTCATCATTCACTATGGCATACCAGAGCGGTTGCATAGTGATCAGGGCCGTAATTTTGAATCTGCAGTCATCAAAAACTTATGCCAAATGTTAGGCATAAAAAAATCAAGAACAACCCCTATCATCCCCGTGGTAATCCAGTAGAACGGTTTAACCGTACACTGCTAGGGATGCTTGGAACACTCCAAGAAGACGACAAACTAAAATGGCGTGATCATGTGCAGCCATTGGCTCACGCCTACAATTGCACAAAAAATGACACAACTGGGCATTCACCCTATCAGCTCATGTTTGGGAGACAGCCAAATCTTCCAATTGATGTGGCTTTTGGACTTAATGTGAGTAGGCAGGACAGTGTAACTCACAGTGAATATGTGAAGAAGCTCAGGGAAAGCCTACAGGAAAGTTACAAACTTGCTGTGGAACATAGCGAGAAAGCTGCCCTACGCAATAAGTCAAGATATGATCTAAAAGTGAGAGAATCCACCTTGGAGGTTGGAGATCGTGTTCTTGTCAAGAATGTTGGAATACGAGGGAAACACAAACTAGCTGACAGATGGAGTCAGACGGTCTACAAAGTTGTAAAACAGCTCAATGACTCTCCTGTATATGTTGTTGCTCCACTCAAGTCAGATGGGCCTGAGAGGACACTGCATAGAGACTTACTGTTACCGTGTGGGTTTCTGTCATGCTCAGCGCCAATCGAACCCAGTCATGGAAGCCAAGAGAAAGAGACACCCAAAGGCGACACCTCCAAAGAGAATCCATTTTCTGAAGTTGAAGGAGACTATCATTATCTGGGTGATAATGACATTGTGGATTATGACTTTCCAGTAGTTTACGAAGAAGTCAATTACCCGGCTTTCATTACTGTCAGTGAAATCCCCAAAGCAACTGAGTCTGTGTCAGAACAAAGTGTGGACCGGGACGAGTCTGATCTAAACCCTGCAGTAAAGGAGTTTCATTCTGCACCCGTGGAGCTGGATGAGGGCGAAGGTTCACTTCAAGGTTCTAGTGGAAATGACATTGGAAATGACCCTCCAATGAAAGAAACAGGTGTTATTGTTAATGAGGAATATTCATCTGTTCATGATTCATGTGCTGATATAGATCCAGCTACAGAAAATGATGTTGAACCTTTGGAAAAGGTTATTGATGTAACTCAGGAGCAGTACCAAACTGAAACAACCGGGTTGTCGGATGGAAAAGAGGGGAGTGATAGATATGGATTGGAGGCAGAAGTTGCTAAAGATGAAAAACCTCCAGAAACAAGAGAAATCAGGCGGTCAACTAGGAACAGGACTGAACCTAGCAGACTAACCTACAACACCTTGGGAAATCCCTTAACATTAGTGATGCATTCTCTTTTAAACAGTCTTGATCAGGTTTTTTCACATGCCCTTGGCTCAAACCCTTCCCCATGTGTTGGTAGAGTAAAAACCATTTAAAGTGACTGCTGTCATGCAGGGATGCATGCCCATTTAGGGGGGGAGGGATGTAACCCACCTAAAATCTGCCTCATGAAAATGAACTGCTGTTCCCCAAAAATGTCAGTAGGTGGCACTATGAGATTGTTTAGTGCTTGTGAACTTGAGTTGAGAACTATAGAGAAGGAGAATAGCGCTAAGGCTACGTATGCTGGTCGGAGCTACTCACAGAGTTTTTCCTTAACCTTTTTCTTGAACAAGGATTGTGTGTGAAGACACAAATTGGATTTTACTTTTCCGCTTGTTGGGAAACGCGGACACTTTTTGTTGATGCTGATGTACCTCTGTTTTTGTGTTTTTTGTTCATTTCCGGTGAGTTGACTAACTGCGCTAGCATAGCAAGCTAATCGTTAGCTCAGTATAATGTAAATTTCATGTGTTCCTTTTAAGTGCTGTATTATCTTTTTATTTCTTCACTTGTGAATGTTTTAAGCCAATCGGAAATATTTCTTTGGAAGCTAGTAGGTAAGTTTTATTTATTGTAATGAGATGATAAATATGAGCAGTCTTTGGCTAAATAGTACTGCGACCACGTTTTGCACTTTCCTCGTGCATCAGTAATGTACATTCTCTCAATTCATTGGATTGATGTGACTGCTGTTCACAAAATATGAGATTTGAGTTAAATTTGTATGATGTGGAAATTGTTTTAAGGTTCTTTGATTAATTTTATTATTGATTGCATTAAGTCGTTATATACAAAGAGTGAGAGACATTTGGTCACTAGTGTTGATTAAGTTGTTATATGATATTCATGTAAAATATGTTCACTGCCCTGTGCAGGTTGGTTTTTTTGTTGGAGTCTAAAGTTGTGAGCCAGGATTCCGGATCCCCAGCTGCGATGCAGGAAAGATTTCCAGCCTACTTAGAAGTGACAACTGCGTTACTTCTTGACAGATAAGCTTATGAGATCTCAGAACAATACACTACCCGGGTAGTACTACTAACATTAACACTATACACACACACTCACACACCTGAACTGAAAAGACTGAAAAGAACTCTGAACACTGAACTCTGAACTCTAAAACTGAATACACAGACTGACAAATATGGACAATTGGAACTGTTGTGAACTGTTGAATGACTGTTTTTGGTTTTGTTTTGAATAAATGTTGACTGTTCTTTTAGCTGTGTGTCATTCGCTCCTTAGTCGATTCCTAGAGGCCATAAGCCTAAGATCCTAACTTTCTCTACATTCAGTAGTGGTAAAGTATCGTGTGTTACATAACCTTAATATGTAAATACTTTAAATGAAAGTTAGAGTTTGTACCATATTGCCTGATAATGCCTGATTTGGAACAGATTGTTTTCTTTAGGTAGATTTTCATCACCATAACCCAAAAATTTTAATATGCAAGTAGGAAATCAATCCTGTCATTTGAAGACTGCATCGTCTCAGATGCTGTGCCTGGAGCGACCCCCTGCTTGGGCTTACAGCAACCTGATGCTCGTATTCCCACGGGGATCACTTTGAGCTTCCACCTTCCACATCTGTTCTTTTTGTTCCTTCAGCTCCTGGTGCTTCTCGACGTTCTCATGCTCCTTCTTGGGATTACCACATCTATCACTGCTAATGTTTTTTGCTTGTCAGCCACCAACCACCATGTCACCGTGGAACTGCTTAAAGTTGAATTCCTGCAGGATCTTAGCTCTGCTGTTCTCGTCTTGCCTATATTGGACAGAGAGCTTTTTGTACACTATCCTTGCTATATAACCGATCAGCTGCAGACCAGTTTTATTTTATATCTCCTTGAGTTTATTCAGATAAATTGCATAACACGATCTTGTTACAATGGAATGTTCTCCTGGGAAACTTTGCGCCCTGGCATTCATGTGGATGTTAGTTTGACACATACTGCTTACCTAAGCATTGTGCAGACAAAGCACAGCACACTATAGCAATGACGCTTTCCATAGGGACCCCAAGTAGGACAGCGTGGCCTGCCTCAGAGTATCACAGGCTCACAATTGTGTACAAAGCCCAAGGTGTTGACCCAGCTTTCAAACTCATCAGAGCCACCTTTAATCCAAAATTTAAGGTGCAGGCCAGAAATGATTCCTATCTAGGAGCCACAACCCAGCAGTTCACTGGGCCTAAAAGATCTTTGGGCAACATCCTACGCCAGAAACAGCACATCCCAGATATCCTGTGTCCATGCCAAACAGGGCAAAGTGGTTTTAGTGAAATTAAAACCTAACTAGAAGGAACAGTGCCGTCTTAAAAGCAAGCAATCATACTTAATATAAACACCATTGCTATTTTTTGTTCTGCATACTGCACTTTATAAAGACAGTTTAAAGAAATAACTTTTTAGTGCATTTTTGAAAGCGCTGTTTCTTATCTGCTAAGGCCTAAAACTTTCATAGGCAGAGATTTTTCACAAATGCTTTGTTTGAGATGTCACAGTAACTGCAGTAATGAATATAGATTTTGTGTTTGCCTTCGAAGCAGATTTGCACGGCCATGCACACAAATATACAAACACACATACCTGTGCCCTGCTACTGCCAAAGAGAATATGATTATGCAGTCCACTTTGTGTGTCGCCACCCGCCTGACAGATGCATCTGCAGAGCAAATCTTGATGGATTTTCAGTCTGATTTCTAAATCAAAACCACATTTTCCCTCTCTTTTCTTGGTACGAAAGCCCTTCATGTCTGCCATTTCCTCTGCCTCCCACAGAACTCGTTCATTGACAGAGCAGTGATGGGAAAAAACATCGGTCTGGATTCTTATCTTAACCGCATGTTGAGCCTGTGTGATGAATGGGAGCAACATATACTTGCGTATATGTACAGCTTACATCAGATGGCAAAGTGTTCTCTTTTAGCATTGTCATCTTCCTGACTTTCCTTTCAGAAATTGTGCTGCAGTCATATTCTCTGCGTCCTTCATTTTTCCCTTTCTTGTTTTCAGTTTTATACTTTAATCTTTTCGTACTCCTCGCTCACCTCAGTCTCCCTCTGCTGCTCTCTTCCTCTCTTTGTGCTTAGCACAGCCTCGCTGCCAGAATGACAATTAACAGAGGAAGGAAATATTTTAATTTATTTTTTTCCCACTGCTATGAATATTCAGTGTAAACAGTTTTTATGCATGGCTGTCAAATCTCATGTGTGCTTATTAAAAGGATGGTTGGTTTGATATGTTGGCTTACTGAATAATAGCAAGCTACCTTGACATTAGCCAACCCTTTGATGAGGCAGGTTTATGTGTGTGTTTATGCAGTTTTGCAAATTTGGTTATTCTTGTATATTTTGTGATGTTGCTGGATAGGAGAGGGAACGAGAGCTCTATGGGATGTTCCCAGCTCACAGACACATTTACATTGGTTTCCACTTTTTTCCCCTCTGAAGTTGAGGTACTTTAAAAGCACTCAGATTGTCGGATGACATAGACGTCAATCTCAGAATAAAAACCGTGTGTGTGTGTGGGGGAGGGGGTTATTCTATATATAGTGGTTTATGTTCTTAGAAGTGAAAGAGGCTCTTTTGTTGGTCAGGATCTATTGTACTCAAGGGAAAGAAGCTCATATTGTTTTTTGTACGTATTGTATCAGTAAAACTAGCTTCCATACATTTTGTTGAACTTTGAAGTGAACAAAAAACCCAATATAAACAACAGCTAAATAACAACCTAATTACAGCTGCATACAATAGTTACATGGGCTGTAAAAGCCAAAAATTCTGTCAGATGTGGAAATTTGCAAAAGTCTTAAGCCACCCCTCATTTTTTAAAAAGTATTTTGTTAGGAAGATTTTTATTTTTATTTTAAATTGTTCTTTGGGAATCACCTTGTTGGTGCTGGTACTGTTTTTATGCTTGTCAAACTCCGCTGTTTTTGGCTTTTTTTTTTTCCTAGATTCATTGCTAATGGGAACAAATTTGTTTTTGTGATAGGCTGCTAGTATCAAAATTATCAAAATAAAATAAACTGTTTACGGCAATATTTTTTCATCGTTTTGATGGTCACTGTAGTGGCTGTATTAATTTCTTAAAGTGCTCTCTTTCTCTTGTAATATAACCACACTACGGACGGACAAGCGCCTGTTTTTATGTGTTGTCGTTAGCAACAACGACGGTAAAACCATCGCGTGTCCGCTTGTTTATTTTCCATATAAACCTTTCACAATAAAGCTCAAGATCCTGTTGAGACTTTTCAAAATAAACTGAATCACGTGAAAGATGCAGAGTGTTTACGGATGAGAAGTAAAAAGGAGCTGTCAGGTGCTAAAAAATAAACCTTGGACTCAAACGTTAGAACAGGCTTTTCCCCGCAGCGCGGCGTCTAATGAATACTCACAAAGAAAACGGCGGCCGTTACAACTTATGTCTAAAAATGTATTGTTTCAAGCATCGGTTAAAACACTCGACTTCAGGTACATGACGCGCAGCTGGAAACACTTCACGCAAGTCGAGCTGCCCGAGATTCACAGAATTTACAGAAAATGTTAAATTTTTGTGATTTATATCGTTATCGGGACGATAGATGTCTTGTATCGGGATATGAGATTTTGGTCATATTGCACAGCCCTACAGTAGTATTATAAAATACTATATTTTTATCACATGCATGACAACATGATCATAATTCGGTCGTGGGGAAAAAAAAGTGTCCCGCTGTATTTCCTGTTCACTCCTTACTTGAATGATCTTTAAACCTTAGAGCTTTCATCAGACTGTCATGCTCTAACCAAACCTTAACCGCCACATCTCCGTATCTCAAGTTTCCATACGCAGCATAACCTCATCAAAGCTCAACCTATATTTACGGTATGTTGAACCAACACTTTCTGTACAATTCATATGAAATATGCTTAGTGTAGTGAATTCAGAAACTGTGCTTCCAGATGCAGTAAATGAATTAAATGTAGGTTATATGCTCGTTTAGATGATTGGTGTTTGTATGTGTAATGTTGCTCCAGCAGCCAGTTTCTGATATAATCACTGCAACCATCCTAGTTTTGTGTGACTGGTTTTGAACTGTCTTTTTTTTTTTTTTTTTTGTATCATATATACGTTTGATTTGTAGTACATGCTCCATCCGTTCAACATCGGAAGAATAACAGCATGAATGAGCATTTTGTTTTTCATCCATTTTTCGTGGAATCTGGATTTTCAGGGTCGACTGAGTACTTTGTGAGTGCTTAGCTGATTTCCTGCACAGCAAGTTTAGCATTTTCTTTTTCAAGTTTTCTTCAACAAAATTGGAACAAAACAACAAAAAAGGTCTTTCCATTTCTGAACTACTTGGCTCCTGTAATTGTTGCTTGCAGGTGTATTATTTATATTTGTCTTTCTTCATAATTCAGCAAAATGTGGAAATTCAACAAGAGTATATTTGACAGACTTTAGGTAAAGCACCGCTTTAGGCAAAGCACCACTTCTGTGTAGATGCCAAAATATATGTGGGAAAGGCTTGATATTTCAGTAGATGCTGAAACAGTTACTGCTGACATTTTGATTCACTATTTGTTTAACAATTGTGGGATTGGACAAGTTATTTTACTGCTATTTTATTATCAGTATTATTATTGCATTATAACCACGTAACAAGCATTGCATTAAAGCATATATTGAAGCTGTTAACATTACATTAAAGTCTGTATTACAGGTGGTATCATAATCATATAATAATCTTTCATTGCAGGAGCAACTGTAATCATTTTATACACATTGCATTTTGGTGCTTATTAAAGAGTTGAAGCTTGGTCAGTTAATTGATGGTCAGAAGCTTCGATGTCCGGCCGATCTATTGAGCAAAGTGGCTTAGAGCTATGGAAAGATTGCATTCACGCTTACAATACATATATCACATATAATCTAGAAACAGGCCTGAATAAAGGCCTGAGTGTATTCAACAACCTGCTGCGTTTGAGTTTGTTTGGTAACAGATGACTCAGAATAAGTCAGGAAGTATACTTCTGAAATGTCTTTGTTTCCTCTGTAAAGTGTGCATTTTTTGGTGGTTATTTTGAGGAGCTGTCTGGATGAGGCTATTTGAATAACCAGGTTGTTCATTGTTATCTTTTTCTTTTGTATTCTTTTATTAAGTTTTAAGTAGTATCATTTGATTAAAACATTTATTCAATATATTACACATATAGTTTCAGTTGTGTACGTGCGTGCCTTCGGTCTGGTGGAAAGGTTACAAGGTTTAGCTGGTGAGGTGAGAGGTGAAACTGAGTGCATTTCAGGTCAACACAAACGCACACCCAC